ATATATACACCCTGGAGCTACGTTCTGAATTTGCTTCATAAACTGTACTTTATACCACACTATGTATTGTTTTGGGATCATGAAGGCCTGTTCCATGCGATTAGCATCATATTCTAGGCAAAGCAATCTTGTAGTACTTGATTTAATATTTATTATCACCAAATTTTTGACAAAAAACTTAGAACAAATGATTTGTTTTACAACTACAAGCACGCGATATCGTTTACATTTATTATTTAAGCGCCTTCAGACCGCTGTAATAAAATAAAAGATGAAAGTTAACAAAGTAAGTAAAATAAGTACACACATGGATCTATCCACTTAAAAAATCAGCTTAAACAAAACAAATATGGATATTTATTGCTATTCAGGAATGTTACTGCTTTAAATTCGTAAACATAAATTATTAGATTACAGGCAGACGCAAACACGCCCATCCAAACCAAGATATATTATTCACGTTTTTATAGTGTTATTGAAATAAAACAGTTGATTTATAAAAATCCGCTCTAACGTGCTTCATCTCGTCTCTGTTAAATCATTCAGAGTGTTCAAAGTATGTCCTGAGAGAGACTTACTCAATATGGCGGACACGTCTCTGCTCCGCTCGTTAATTCTCTTGAGAGCAGGTAGATGGCTGTAACACTACTTAAAGTAGCTCATAAAACTTCAGGTCTGTATCTTATTTGTTACACGGAAATTTATGCTCAACACCCATTCCCAGAGGAAAATTGAGGGAATTTAAGTGGACAGAGTTTAAGGACATGAACTTACATAAGAATAACTTTGACACACTTTAAAATGTTTAACTCTCTCACGACATAATAAATTCCGTGTTGTTGGAAACAACGTGGACAGACAAATAAATCATTTAATTAAGAATTCCGTTGGCAGACTTCGAGAAGTATAATTAAGAACTATAAGCACGAATTACTTGCACGTGACTGAGATCTAGCTAATCCTTCAAAGAAACATTTTAATGTGTTAATTTCAACACGTTCGTAAATGAAAAACCTTGCAAAGAAATTTGTCACCGGCAATAACTACTTTACCCGCGGTTCCATGTATTGTCTGAGAAAAGAACATAATACAGAAAGACATCTATTAGGATGTTGTTCAAACCGAGTTTGAGAACGGGATATTAAGGAGGAAATTATATAAGGCGGAGTTTCATAATTTGTATTATCCACCAAATGCTATGACGATGATCAAACCAAGATGGATAAGATGGAGATGACATTTAGAGGGCATAGAGGAAAACAGAATTTCATTCAAAATTTTTGTCACAAAACAGGAAATGAGATGACTAGGGAGACACAGATGTACATTGTAGAATAATATTTAAACGCGTCTTAAAGAAATCGGTTGTGAGGGACTTGAATTAATTTAGCTGACTTCAGGATATAATTCAGTGACTGGTACATGTGAATACGATAATGAATCTTCTGGTTTCATAAAAGGTAGGTAATTTCAGGCGAGCGACTCTGAGCCATGGTATGGGTTAAGAAATAGTGTATACAAACCGTTTTATAGAACATGCAGGCTTGTCGGTCCTCGTCTTCCCCACTGGGGCAGTCTATAAATCCATCGCAGAGAACTAGGTCGTCTATACACCGATATCTTCCCATCCTGTCAGGAGTTGGACAAGCAAACCTTTCCATGCCATCTTCCGCGGGTGGGCATTCTGCAAAACGAGACACGGGTTTATTAGTTAATTCATAGTGACACACATTTATTATGGTTTTCTGTAAAATATGTTAAATCACTTTTGGTTGGGTCAGCCTAGCACATCGAACCAATCGTGAAGGTTTGATGATGGAGGCTGCAAGGATCTCTGAAACGTCGGTAAACTTCTACCAGGCTACACGGCGCAACAACCCAGAAGACAGAAATCTCTAGACTCACCGCCATGAAAACCTCAAATCCAATAACTTTAGCGTAATGTATCAGTAGATTTAAGGATAATTTAATTATTGTGTAATGTAATGTTATTGTTAATGACATTATTAAGCAGGATTTGAGGTTTACACGGTTGTGATATTATTGCGAATCTGTTATTTTATTTGCGTGTGAAAAACTTGCTGCCACTGTCAGAAAAGAAGACAGAGGCTGTCTAAGAATAAAGTTCCGAGAAAAAATCTGGAAGTAAGAAATATGAACAGAACGATGGGAAAAATAATACAACGAAGAACGTAACACTTTTAGGCAGACTGAATCGAGGTTGGTGAGGGAAGCGGAGATTACAGGAGAAAATGGACAGATGAGAATTTCTGAGAGAAAACACAGCGGAGAATATGAAGATGGCTGTCTTCTGGGTTTCAGCGCCGTGTAGTCTGCTAGAAGTTTAGAGATCCTTGCTGCTTCCATCATCAGGACGATGTCCGAGATTAATTAATTTCAAATCGCTTTAAACCTCATTCACCTGAGAATAAAAGTTATAAAAATTTATAATAAATACATTAATATTATAGGAATAATGGATTTAACGTGTAAGAGAAAATACGATGCTTCTAATTCATATCTACCTTTCCATCTGATATAAAGTTATGTAACGTTTGAAGAAAGTATGCAGCTAGAAAATCAATAGCTAAGATTCAGCTTTCGTTGTCTGAAGACGTAAAGTCAGTGAAATTATGGCGTAACGGAAATAAGTGGCAAATGGACCATCGGGGTCGGTTAGGAGGAGGTGTATGCAATTTGTTCTAAATCAGAGGGACAAAATAATATGTTGCTACTACAGCAGGAGGCTTGGTAACGCCTTCGATGGCGCACATCGAATAGATGCCGTTATTATTATAAGGATTTTTTTTTTAAATCAGCGATCTTCTAAGACCCAGCAACATCCATTCGATTTGCCAAACCCAGTAAAATATGGCGAATAGTAAAACTTATGATATCCTACAACGTTAATCGCCCTGGTGATGGTGGCAAAATGAACCTCTGAAAAATTCGTAAACATCTACCAGACTTCATGGAGCTACAACCCAGAAGACAGCCATATTTCAATGTTCAGATGTTCTGAGCTGTGATACATTTTCCCTTAAAGGCACTTTTTATTACTTACATGAAGCACCATTTTAACATTTATTTTGTTACACAAACACGAATGGCTTCACCTCCATTTTTATAATAGTCTATGATTTTTAGTGTCATATAGTAGACATTATTTTTATTTTTATGCTATGTATTTATCATTGTTTTTTACTTTATTTTTAAAAACACAAAGGTAGAGGTTTGAGAAGGACGTTTTGAATGTTTATACATGCCTGTGGTATCTAAACTTCTTCGGCTATTGTTATTTTAAAATAAATCTTTAATGCCAGCTACTACAGGTTCCTGGTATGACAAATAACTCACACTGTTTCTAAGAAGTGTGTATAGGTTACTATTCCATGTCGTAATTAACTCACGTCCCGAAAACGAAGATTATGGAATATAAAATAGTCTAAGGTAGCACTTGGGCAATGTTTATTGTTTGAATTCTTTTTATTCTTTCATGCTGTAAACAATTTTCCTGTTTCGTAACTAGTATTTAAATTTAAATTTAAATATTGCGTGTTAAAGAAATTCCAATAATTAAGAGTAATGCATTACACCATAAAACTGTTACTTGGAATTGTCTAGGATTTTATATAAGTAAATCGTAAGATAGTATTCATTGTACGAAGTACATAAAATAAACGTATCTTATGACAGTGAAATTTGTGCGTCTGCCCACATGTTTCATCTGCAAAATTACCTAACGAACTTCGATGATAACTGAGCTGTATTACAAGCTGTCGAGTGAATTTAACACTGGTGCGTATCGACTAAATATATTCTGCACGAAGCTTAATAATGAAATAAAGAAGGATGAGATTGACAGGTTATATAGCACGCATGGGGAAGATGATAAACTCGCATAACATTTTGGTTGGGATGCCTGAAGGCATACATGGGAAGATAATATTAAAATGGACGCCGTTATATAGCGCCTAACGAGTTTTAAAGATAATAATAAACAATGTGTAGCTAAGAATTTGGGATAAATCAGGCATAGCCTGCTTTGAAGTTGGCCTATTATTGCTGCATTCGCCTGAAAAGTCTCTGAAATATACGAAAATCCTTTGGACAGCCGGTTAACTGACAAAAGTTTAAAGATTTAACTCTACATCAACTTGTTCGGTTATTTTAATGAATGTTACTGGTACGATGGTTACTTATTAAACTTTGTTCTGTTTTTGTAATACTCGCTTTTATTTTGGCTGGTCTTCCAAACAGAATGTGTTATAGTTAAGTCATATCCAAGTAATAAAAAATGTACAGTTTTAAATCCATTAAGCTATATTTTTACCTGTTTCTTGTTGACTTAAGAGTCATCTTATGAGTGGGACATAGATTGATGTTTGACGGAGCGTTGAGGAGAACATTTGGATCTAAAAGTCTCTGCGTAGGAGACGAATAAAAACATAAAAACAGAAGCTCCACAATCTGTACTGTTAACCACATATTATTAGAATAATCAGATCAATAAAAATATGATGGACAGAACTTGTAGTACGTTGCAAAAATTGAAATAAAGAGAAAACTTCTGAGACCTAGAATTAGTTGGGAGGATAGAATTATAATAGATCTTAAAGAATATATTGTTACAGTGGGTTGGATTCACCTTGATCCGTACAAACGTCAGTGGCGGTTTCATGTGAGAATGATAATAAAACTTGGGGTATTATAAAATGCGAGAGTGTTATCGAATAGCTGAGCAACTATGAGCTTTCAAGAAGGAAGAATTCTGTAATATAGAGTTACTGTTCTAAACTGTATCTGAACCTTGGAAGTTACAGTTACTGATTAGTCTAAGGACGTTATAAATGTCCATTCTCAGATCTGTTTTAAGTAAATACAAGTATTATAAATAAATACATAAATAGACGTATTATAGTTTTGAAAGAAAGTGTAAAGCTAAAGACCCTAGTGAGAATTAAAGTCCCGTAGATACAACATGGTGACGGCCCAGGCCTGTCGCACACTGCCATATTATCAGTCTATCAGTCGTTTACATTGGACAACCTGTTGATCCATTTATACTCCACCCTCATCTCTCAAACGTAACAAATTACTTGCCACAGTACAAAACTACTTCTTACGCGCATTCACACATGTAGTGAATACAAGCATCAATTCAAAAACTCGAACAACCACTTCCACTAAAGACAGACAGGTCTCACTGCAAAATGTCGTTTTTGCTTTCCCCTGCACACCTCCCGCCCTCGATACCCTCATCCCCACTAGCTCGCATTTCGTTCTGACGTCACGGCAGGTGAAGAATAATGAGCGAGTTGCAACCCAATCAATACAGTCTCCTTTTGGGGCACTGGGAGTGTTAAGTCTTGTAGGCGAGGGCGAAGGGAACTGCAGCAACGCGTTGGATTTCTGTCTCTTACCGTTCTGACTGTAATTGTTCAGATCCGAAGTCTTCAAAATAATTTCATCCTAACAGCTTTCCGTCGAACGTTAAGTATCGGTAGGCGTTTATTAAGTCTTTCATACACGCTACATGTCTCGTATAATTCCTTATCCTCGATTTCACCATCTTAATAATTTTTTTGTGAAACGTACAAATTATAAAGTTTTATATTATATAGTTTAATACATTTTTCCTATATCCTGGACACTTTTAATTGGAACCGGCGAATATCCTACAATTTTACATGTCCACAATACCCTACATCTTGGACATCCATTTTGCTGTAAGTTGGACAGGTTCATGCTTTCCAGGGAAACGTTTACAGTTACATATTTTGTTGTATTAAATTTTAGACTAATGAATGCCTTCTATCTGGAGGATTAGCTTAAGTTTGAGGGTGGGAGACATCAAACCCATCATTGAAATGCAATGAAAGCGTTTAGTTATTCTTTTGTTGAGCGCTTCACTGGACTACAGTACTGGAAATACAGTTTTAAACTCCATCAGTACTGTGACTACATTTGAGTTCAAACTGTGTTGACAGAAAATGGATTTTTCTTTTTGAGATGGGGAAATGAAAATTGGTGGAATTAACTTTAGACAATTTAAATGAGGCTGAGGCGTAATGTGAAATGCATGGGAATGGGTTTAAGAGGACTATTATTGTTGTTGTTGTTGTGTTTGTCATCAATTCTTAATTGGCATATCCATCGCCCTGATGACGGAGGCAGTATGACCTCTGAAACGTTGTTAAACATCGACCAGACTACACAGCGCAACAACCCAGAAGACAGAAATCTTCATACTCATCGCCCTGATGACGGAGGCAGTATGACCTCTGAAACGTTGGTTAACATCGACCAGACTACACAGCGCAACAACCCAGAAGACAGAAATCTTCATACTAACCGCTGTGATAACCTCAAATCTTACATAAAATGGTTTTATTCTGATTATTTGTTACAAAATGCATTACATATAAATGACTATTAAATAATGCAAACATTGCTTTCTAGCATGTAGCAACCCTACACGCCATTCATTTCTGTAGTTTCGTTCCTCACGACAAGGACAGAACAGATAAATTAATTATCTTTGGATTAAGTGAAATTCGTGTACAGTAAGAAAGGAAAGCGTATATAAGAGGTCGAAAATGACGTTTCAAGAGTTACAAGATCTTTCTTTTCATTCATGATGCAACAGAAGAATTCATAGTATCAGCGTCTTAAAGTACACGG